GAGACTTCCTTATCCAGGAATAAGACTACATGGAAATGTGGTCCTTTAACATTCCTGATGTGTTTATGTGGGTTGAAATAGGTGATATAATGCTAATGAATGAATACTTTGTTGTCTCTTCAATGCAAGACCTGTCTTTCCAGATAGTTTGCCTGAGAACTTGAAGGTCAAACTGCAATATTGTATTTTTGTGACCTTTGAGTGGCAATAAACATCAAGCATTAAGAGGGTTTGGTAAGAGGTTTCAGATTTGATCTTATAGAGATAATGACAGGTTGTATTAAATAAACCATCCTTGATAGTTGGTCAGATTGATAAGAATCAGGAGGGACATTTTGCTGATGGGTAACAGATGTGTGAACATGGGAGAAAAACGTCTGTCAGTCATATTTGTTAGCAAGACATTTATGAGCCATAGTTCCTGTTGAAATCCTTTTTATGAATTATGTTTGCGTTAACTGAGCAAGTGTTTGATGTTATGAGGCACAGTCTGACATATAATTCTATAAAATAATTTTAAAAAGAATAGCACCCTTAAAACATTTTTCTTCTATTGCAGTTGCAGCATCAACCAGAAAAAAAAGACTGATAGAATAATGTGTTGGAAGTGTCGCAGTGTTTATACTTTTCATGGAAATCAACCCACAAATGGTGTACTTCTAGCTGGGATAGCAAAGACTGAAGGGGCATTCTGCTCTTTGTGTCAATGCACATGATTTGGGTCAAATTGGAGTGTGAAGGTTAAAGTGCAGGAGGCGTGTGTGTGTCATGTGGCTGCTGCAGTGTGTTCAGTTAGATAAGTCTGTTCTTTCAATAATATTTGTTGCCGTGTCCGCTCACATCATGAGCTTAAAGTGTTTTCAGAAATATGAAAATTTGGACGATATAAGTTACAGAGAACACAAACAGAATGTGCATTAACCGAATTTTAGCCGAAATATCTTAAAGCGATTTCAATTTGTCCTTTCTCTTTGGAGTGTTACAAGCTCTTGGTGCATAAAGAAGATCTGTAAAGTTGTAAAGACTAAAGTCTCAAATCCAAAGAGATATTCTTTATAAAATTTAAGAGTCAGCCACACCTACACATGTGGGAAGATTTGCATAACGCCGCCCAAATGTTCACGCAAAGAAAGAAGTCGTAACTTTTATTCTCGCTGTAGTATTGTTGTTGCCGCCGTCGCCATGTCGTGAAGGCGCTGTGTGTTTCGTTGTGAAAGCAAAACTACTTTGTTTGGTCTTCCAAAAGAGGACGATATCTGCTTCGTCATGCCTGGAACTGATCCGTGCTGGTCGCTGAGGAAATACATCAAGTTTGCGCTGTGGATCACCAGATCGACTTTCACTGTGGACAAAGTGGAGTCCAGCACGGGGTCGTCACATGTGGTTGCCGCAGGCATCACAGTATGGTAGGGACGTAACATTTCCGTCACACGCTTGAGGAATTCGGCCAATCACAACGCACCGGATAGCTGGCCAATCAGAGCACACCTCGCTTTTTCAGACCGATGAGCTTTGTAAAACTCGACGCGTTTCAGAAAGGCGGGGCATAGAGAAGAAACAATAATGTACAGTATGTGGAAAATAATGTGGTTTTTTAACCTTAAACTGCATAAACACATTTCATTACACCAAATACACAAAATAATGTTCTTTTTAGCAGCATCATATGACCCCTTTAAGGTATTTCTAAGTGCAATTCTTAAGTTCTCAAATATATTTTTAAGAATATTTTTGGAATGAGTTGCCACTGTCTATAAATCCTCTCCATGCCTCAACACTTTTACATTTGGCCTAAAAACTTTTTTATTTGCTTTGGCTTTCATTAAGTCTGAATATATGCTTTGGCTTTTGATTAAGCGAACGATATGTATTAAGATGGACTTTTGTTGTGAAATGTGTTTTATTCGTGTGTTTGTAAGTGTTTTTAGTGTTATTTTAACATTGCTATGTTCATCCTCTTATGGTATTGTTTTAGTTTTATGCCATTTTTGTGTTCAGAACTTCGGTCCATTCTTATGGTTTTGAAAGTGCTATATAAATAAACGGTTGAATATTTCTTAAGAAGAACATAAGAGGCTCGGTGTTTATCTGATTTTATGGCAGTTCTTGAAAACTTGATCAGCTCAATGAAAAATACCTCTGCAATACCTCAGAATAATAAGAGTGCAAACTATTTTTGTTGCATTTTCCATGACAGGAGTTCAGCACTTGGGGTTGTTGTTGTTTTTAATGCTACATGAATTTTAAATGGTTATTTTGTGATCAATACTGCCAAAAATGGACAATTATTATGAATTATTAACTGAAACTTAATGAAAAATTAGGTCTCTAGTTCAATCATTGGTCAGTACTCATGTACATCCTTAGCAAACAAAACATATATATTCATTAGACATCTTTGGGGAATTTAAGACAAGTTGGAGATGATCCTCCTAACATTAGGAGGTTATTTATTAAATGTTTTAAGGACATTCCTTTTCAGGAATTAAAATTCTTAGGTTTATTAATTTATTTTAGAGCAATCAGAAGAAAAAAAAAACACATGAAACTTCTTAAATGTTCTTGGGAATACAAAATAATCTTAACTTTATTCTTATGGTAGAAAATAAGAAAATATCAGTTACAAAGAATTTTATTCTTAATGTGTCATGAATCTGGCTCCTGGTCTGATGTGATGTGCACTGACTTATATATATGCCATATTAAACATACTTGAGATTGTTTTTATTGGGACAGCAGTGATCCTTAAGCAAACTTTGTCGTCATAACTCAAGCACGTGTTTCACTTTGACCTTTAACCGCCTGTCAGAGGAGAGTCAGATAAAGTTCCCTTTGATTCCACTGGGCCACAAACACATAAACGCACACGGCTCTGTCTTATATTGGCTTCTTGTAAAGCTGTTTGTGTCAGTATTCAGTCTGGAGATGCTGTCATGTGTCAGAAGGCCCCTTCCCATCAATACACAGCTGACCTACCTTTATGTTTTATCATTTACTTCCCGTTAATGTTTTGTCAGTACAGACTGACACTGATAAACAGGTGTGTGTGTGTGTAACCAAGCATTTATACTCTCTCTCAGTGATAACATTTGCCCTGATTAACTAGTTAGTGATTGATGGGTCAATAAATTGATAGTTTTGAACGAGTTCTCACTATTATTAAATATGAATGTGCAATGAACAGGAAACATGTTAAACTAACTAGTGAGGTTCTGCTGTGAATCTCAGTGCAAAAGTACTTCATTTTGATGTAAACGTACTTTTGTTTGGTGTACAGTTTTTTTTCTGTCTATGCACATTAGAAATGCATTGTGATTAATATCTAATTCTGTTGCATGCATATTTTTGCATTGTGGAAATTGGGTGTTTAATGCACAGATCAATATGCAGCCTGTTACACTGATTTCTTTCAGCTTGTTGATGTTAAATGCATAATATATGCTGTATAGGAGTAAGAAAGGATTAATTATATTTCCTGTATGTCTATACTGATTCAAGCAGACCTGTGAATGTCTACAGAGATTTCTGTGTAATCATAATTCATAATGAACTTTACTTGAAATGAAACAAACATGTTGGCAAATCCAGTTTTATAATCATTCAGCCATGTGCAGCACGACCACGTGCCATGAATTTTACGAATTAGATATTGTTCATATTGTGATAAACTGATAATGCACATTAAATAGACTCGCAGACGAGATCACAACATTTCCAAGATTGCTTTTTTTTATAGGCACAGGAACTAAATGCTGTGCGATTCTATAGTGACCTACAGAATAAATATAGGACAAATAAATAAAAACAAATATAAGTTTTGCATGATTTTTTTGTCTCTTCTGTTTGTTTCAGCTGGATTTGACTGTCCCGTCTGCTCAAAGTTTGTCTGTTCTGATGAAATGGATGTTCATTTGCTCATGTGTTTCTCCAAACTCAGACTCCATTATAACGGTAAGAATAATCTTCACTGTCACACACTGACCGCAGGTCACTCTCTTTCTGTCCAATTAGATCATTGGCCTGTTCATGCACTCTTGGGCTCTCAAACAGAGCTGAAGCTATTGAAAAATTTCTGAAATAACCAAAAAACCTGAGATTATTTCCTGCTGGACAGCTATTAGCTCCACTGACAAACTTGTTTTTGTCCTCCACCGTCTATTTTAATGCTGACTTGTTTTTTTTGTGTAACAGCGCCCCGTGTGTCATCAGCTGCTGCTCCGAGCTTCTCTGATGCTGACAGTGATGTTGTGATGTTTTCTCTTTCTGTAGATGATGTTTTGTCCCGGGACTCTGGCGAGTGTTCGATATGTCTGGATGACATGGTTCAGGGGGACACCATCGCTCGACTGCCCTGTCTCTGTGTCTACCACAAAGGGTTTGAGAAACATTCACTATCACAGTCATACACACACACACATACCTGCTGTCGTCTGTGGAAATCAGCTCATCTTCTGCTCCTCCAGGTGTATTGATGAATGGTTTGAGGTCAACAGGTCGTGTCCAGAACATCCCACAGATTCACATTAGAACAGGTCAGATGTTAGACCGTTACACAAATAGAATGGTCTCAATAACCACCAATTTTTTTTAAAAACCTACTGTTTTTTTTTCTATCTGCAGATGATTCAAATAAAGAAGAGCAGAAGAAAAGGGCACAGCTAATATTTCCTCCAGGATCTGACTCGCTTTGACACTAGATGATGAATCCATCACAATCTGAGACATATATGGACCTAAAACCTGCAAGCATGCGTATACTTTGCACAGTTCTGTTAGCAGACCTGAAGGCTGTTTTACAGTAATCTAGCTGCCATCTTTACCCATGAAACTCTTCAGAGATCAGATGGTGGGCTGCAGTACTGCTTCAGGTTAGGGTAACATAACAGTGGTTTCATGATCGATAATCACAAGATAAAACACATTTTCCCTAACAGGACTTTCTTTTGAACTGTTTTAACCAAAGGAAGAGTTGTTTAGAAAAGACATGAATATAGTGGACGATGGCTGACAGAATGTGAGTAAAGGAAGAACATGAAAGACCTAATCAAAGATATTTTCTGTACATGTAGATTTTTGAAATTATATTTAAAATAGATGAACCAGTTGTGAATGTTTTTGATAAATGCTGTTAATTTTTTTTCCCAATGTGCTGCTGTGTATATAACAGATACTAGATACAAACAATATATATATATATATATATATATATATATATATATATATATATATATATATATTAATCATATATAAATAAATTCAAAGGGCTCTGGAATGTAAAGATGTGTCATTTTCTACTTTGTTTCTAATAATAATGACCATTATTCTGTCCAACAACATTAGGTGTTTATATACTATTTATTTGTATTGTGTGTGTGTGTGTGTGTGTGTGTGTGTGTGTTTGTGTATAGGCTATATATATATATACTACAGTTCAAAAGTTTGGGATCAGTAAGATTTTTAATGTTTTTTTAAAGAAGTCTCTTCTGCTCATCATGGCTGCATTTATTTGATCAGAAACACAGAAAAAAAATATTGTGAAATATTATTACAATTTAAAATAAGGGTTTTCTATTTTAATATACTATAATATTTTAACAAAATATAAATTATTGCTGTGATCAAAGCTGAATTTTCAGTGTCACATGATCCTTCAGAAATCATTCTAATATGCTGATTTATTATTATTTATATTTATAGTTTTGCTGCTTCATATTTTTTTGAAACCTGTGATACTTTTTTCAGGATTATTTGATGAATGAAACATTAAAAAGAACAGCATTTATTCAAAATAGATTTTTTTGTAACAATATACACTACCGTTCAAAAGTGTGGGGTCAGTTTTTTTTGTGTGTGGATGTGTTAAATTGATAAAAAGTGATAATAAAGACTTACATTGTTTGAAAAGATTTCTATTTTAAATAAACGCTGTTCTTTTTAACTCTATTCATCAAATAATCCTGAAAAAAGTATCACAGGTTCCAAAAAAATATTAAGCGGCACAACGATGATTTCTGAAGATCATGTGACACTCAAGACTGGAGTAATGGTGCTGATGAAAATTCAGGTTCGATCACAGAAATAAATGATACAGCCTTTTTTGCTGCAGCGCCCGGGGAGCAGTTGGGGGTTCAGTGCCTTGCTCAAGGGTCTCACCTCAGTTGTGGTATTGAAAGAGCGCCGGTCATTCCCTCCCCCCACCGACAATTCCTGCCGGACCTGAGCCTTGAACCCGCAACTTTCGGGTTATAAGTCCAACTCTAACCATTATGCCACGACTGTCCGCATATCAACTGTTATATCACTGTATATAATCTGTTCTTGTCTCTATATTCTTTAATGACTTCTATTGTCTCTATTAAAGGAGATTGCAGAAAGAGCGATCAAACCAACCAGACAGATAGATGAATTGTTGACTTTCAGCACTGTACAATGTACAGTTGTTATATCAACTGTATATAATCTGTTGTTGTGTCTGTTCTTTTATGACTTCTATTGTCTCTATTAAAGTCGGTTCCAGAAGGAGCGATCAAACCAACCAGAGCCCAGCTGTGTGTCCATGAAGAGTGACGAATCTATGGATATACCATTAAAATTTGCTGGAAGACACACATCAACTGATCCAAGGTGTGACTTTTCTCTCCAGATGGACAGATAGATGAATTGTTGACTTTCAGCACTGTACAATGTACAGTTATTATATCAACTGTATATAATCTGTTCTTGTGTCTGTTCTATTATGACTTCTATTGTCTCTATTAAAGTCGGTTCCAGAAGGAGCGATCAAACCAACCAGAGCCCAGCTGTGTGTCCATGAAGAGTGACGAATCTATGGATATACCATTAAAATTTGCTGGAAGACACACATCAACTGATCCGAGGTGTGACATTTCTGTCTTTAGCACTGTACAATGTACAGTTATATCAACTGTATATAATCTGTTCTTGTGTCTGTTCTATTATGACTTCTATTGTCTCTATTAAAGGAGATTGCAGAGGGAGCTAACAAACCAACCGGAGCCCAGCTGTGTGTCCATGAAGAGTGACGAATCTATGGATATACCATTAAAATTTGCTGGAAGACACACATCAACTGATCCAAGGTGTGACTTTTCTCTCCAGATAGACAGATAGATGGATGACTTTCAGCAATGTACAGTTGTTTTAAGTGAGTAAAGTGACGTGTGGCTAATTATGGTGACCCATACTCGAAATTTGTGCTCTGCATTTAACCCATCCAAGTGCACACACACAGTAGTGAGCAGACACACACTGTGAACACACACCCGGAGCAGGGGGCAGCCATATTGCTGCGGCGCCCGGGGAGCAGTTAGGGGTTCTGTGCCTTGCTCAAGGGTCTCACCTCAGTCGTGGTATTGAGGGTGGAAGAGAGCACTGGATATTCTCTCCCCCCACCGACAATTCCTGCCGGACCTGAGACTTGAACCCGCAATCTTTGGGTTATAAGTCCAACTCTAACCATTAGGCCACAACTGTCCCCATATCAACTGTTATATCACTGTATATAATCTGTTCTTGTCTCTATATTCTTTTATGACTTCTATTGTCTCTATTAAAGTCGATTCCAGAAAGAGCGATCAAACCAACCAGAGCCCAGCTGTGTGTCCATGAAGAGTGACGAATCTATGGATATACCATTAAAATTTGCTGGAAGACACACATCAACTGATCCGAGGTGTGACTTTTCTCTCCGGATGGACAGATAGATGGATTGATGACTTTCAGCATTGTACAATATAAAGTTGTCATATCAACTATATCAATTATTCTTGTGTCAGTTCCATTATGATTTTTGTTGTTTCGATTCTCTTAAAGTCAATTTCAGAGAGAGCGATCAAATCCACTGGAGCCCAGCTGTGTGTCCATGAAGAGTGATGAATCTATGGATATACCATTAAAATTTGCTGGAAGACACACATCATCTGATCCGAGGTACAACATTTCTGTCTGGATGGACAGGTGACATTTAGAATTGTTCAATGTACAGTCTCTAATCTCACTAGGTAAGTAATCTGACTAGTTAAAAGTATTTTTATATTTTGATTACAATACATAATGCTGGTACATATATTCTGGAACTCCCCAAATTGTCTATAATATCAACTATATTTTATTATATTATTGTATGATTATTAAAGTCCATTTCACAGGGAGAAATCAAGCCCACAAGTGCAGAGATGTAAGTTCATGGAAGGAGACCGGTCTATGGCAGTGCTTGTAACAAATAAGGGAGAATCTATTCTGAGGTACAACATTTCTTTATAGATAGTAGAATATCTTTGTCTATCACTCTCTGCTGAAATCTGTTTAACCTTTAATTGGTGCCAGATTCAAATCAAATCTGCTAAAGAAGTTTCACTGTCTGTATGAAGGAATGGCAAAGCAGGGAAACCCAACACTCCTGAATGAGATCTACACAGAGCTCTACATCGCAGAGAGTGAAAGTGGAGAGATCAGTAATGAGCATGAGGTGAGACAGATTGAGACACAATCCAGGAGAGCAGCAACAAAAGACACACCAATCAAATGCAGAGACATCTTTAGACCTTTACCTGGACAAGACAAAGCCAACAGAACTGTGCTGACAAAGGGAGTCGCTGGCATTGGAAAAACAGTCTCTGTGCAGAAGTTCATTGTGGACTGGGCTGAAGAGAAAGAGAACCAGGATATCCAGCTCATATTTCCACTTCCTTTCAGAGAGCTCAACTTGATGAAGAACAAAACACTCAGTCTTTCAGATCTTCTTCATATCTTTTTCCCTGAAACAAAACAAATATCCAGTGGTGAATATAAAGTGTTGTTCATCTTTGATGGTCTGGACGAGTGTCGTCTGTCTCTGGATTTTCAGAGCAATGTGAGGTTGTGTGATGTGAGTGAATCGGTCTCAGTGGACGTGCTGCTGACGAACCTCATTATGGGGAATCTGCTTCCCTCTGCTCTCATCTGGATCACCTCCAGACCAGCAGCAGCTGATCTCATTCCCTCTGAGTGTGTCCATCGAGTGACAGAGGTACGAGGCTTCAATGATCCACAGAAGGAGGAATACTTCAGGAAGAGAATCAGTGATCAGAGTCTGGCCGATAGAATCATCTCACACCTGAAGTCATCAAGGAGCCTCCACATCATGTGCCACATCCCAGTGTTCTGCTGGATCTCAGCTGCTGTTCTAGAGAAGATGTTGAGTGAAGCAGAGACTGGAGAGATTCCCAAGACTCTCACTCAAATGTACACACACTTCTTGATCATTCAGACCAACATCAGACATGAGAAGGACTATGAGAAGAAAGTTAAAGATGAAGACATGATTCTCAAACTGGGGAAACTGGCTTTTCAGCAGCTTGTAAAAGGCAACCTGATCTTCTATGAGGAAGACCTGATTGAGTGTGGCATTGATGAGACAGAAGCATCAGTGTACTCAGGATTGTGCACTCAGGTCTTCAGAGAGGAGTTTGGCTTGAATGAGTGGAAAGTCTTCGGTTTTGTTCATCTCAGCATCCAGGAACATCTAGCAGCTCTATATGCACACCGCTCCTTTATAAATGACAACATCAGTGTCTTTGACCAAACAAAAAAAAGTCTGTTGTCTAATGTTTTAAATGAGAAGAAATGTAATTTAATATCTGAGCTGCATCAGAGAGCTGTGAATAATGCCTTAAAGAGTAAGAATGGGCATCTGGATCTTTTCCTGCGTTTTCTTCTGGGTCTATCATTGGAGTCCAATCAGACTCTCTTACGAGAACTACTGACACAGACAAGAAGCTGCTCCTACAACAAAGAGGAAACAGTTCAGTACATCAAACATAAGATCAGGCACAATCGCTCTCCAGAGAGATCCATCAATCTGTTCCACTGTCTGAGTGAATTGGGTGATCTTTCACTGATGCAGGAGATCCAACATTATCTGAAATCTGGAAAAATAGGAGAAACCAAACTCTCCTCTTCACAGTGGTCAGCTCTGGTTTATGTGTTGCTGACATCAGAGCAGGAGATGGATGTTTTTAAACTAAAACATTTTATTGGAGCCCAAAATACAGCAGATGAAGTTCTTCTGAAGCTGCTGCCTGTGGTTAAAGAATCCAGATTTGCTTAGTAAGTCACACTGACAACAATCACTACACTGATTAAACTTGATAAATTTTTTTATTTTAAAGGAATAGTTCACACAAAAATGAAAATTCTGTCATTAATTACTCACCCTCATGTCGTTCCAAACCCGTAAGACCTTCGTTCATCTTCGGAACACGAATTAAGATATTTTGAAAGAAATCCAAGAGCTTTCTGACCCTGCATAGACAGCAATGCAACTGAAGCGTTCCCAGGCCCAGAAAGGTAGTAAGGACATTGTTAAAATAGTCCACGTGACATCAGTGGTTCAACCGTAATGTTATGAAGCTGCAAGTATACTTTTTGTGCGCAAAGAAAACAAAAATAAAGACTTTAGTCAACAGTTTCTTCTCTTCCAGATCAGTCTCCACCACCATTCACAACCACGAAGCATGTGTGTGATGCTGCTGACGCAGGTGCCGGCGTTCTGACGTAGAATACGCATGCACTGCGCCTTGTTTACAAGCAGAGGAATGCACTCGCATGCAAATAAATAAAGTCGTTATTTTAGTTTTCTTTGTGCAGATCGCGCGCATACATTCAGGAATTTAAAAAATTTGGTCAACGCTGTCCTGTGATTTTATCAGCTTAAAAACTGAAAAGTTAAAGCATATTCTTAGTCATAAAGTGGCACATTCCACAACCTGCCATTTTGACTGATTGGCTTCAATATAAGCTATTTTTAAACTAACGAGAAATCTTTGAGTTCTGAAACTTACAGGAGGTTTTTGAAATACAATGACCTCTTAAATGTTAAAAGATCAAGGGAATTTAGATTTCTCAGTTCAAGACCCCTTTAATGATGTTTATGTGAATGTTTTACTTCCTCTATAAATCACGTTTGCAGTTCACACATTTATTCTGTAATTGCAGCTGGTGTGAGTTCACCATGCATCTCTAATCTGTACAGCTTGAGTTATTGTGGAGTCACAGATGAAGGTTGTGCTGCTTTGGCTTCAGCTCTGAGATCAAACCCCTCACACCTGAGATCTGTGGATCTAACTGGAAACAATCTAGGAGCATCTGGAGTGAATCTGCTCTCTGATGGACTGAAGGATCCTCACTGTAAACTGGAGAATCTGTGGTAAGATTGTATAAATGTGTCAATATCCTCCTCCATTTTCTTCATATGCCCAATAATGAACAAAATAAACAAAAACTAAACAAGACTAAAAGATTGTAACTTTGAGGAGAGGTTGTGGCTAATAATAATTAATAGGCAGCCCATGCCATCATTTAAATACTACTTCTGATTAGACACCTACAGTTACCGATATAACTAGTTTGAAATGACCTTTGTCACTGACCAGCCAATTTGGCTACTACATTTGTAAGTTAGCAGCGAATTAGAAATTCTACTAGGCAAAACAAAAATGGCAGAAATAAATTGATTGAAATATCCTAGATTTAAATATATTTGTTAAATCTGTTAGATCATTGCAGGTACCAATAAAATAAAATAATAAGACCAAAATAAAGGGGAAAAATATTTTAATATGAGCAGAATTTATTCCATTGCAAACTCCAAATGTAGCTCAAAAGTAATGTTTAATGGTAAAAATGTTGAACAGTAGCGGACAGGCTGTCAATTCATAAATAATCAGCTGTTTCATCACAGGAGTCAGGTTAACTCAATGTAGAGCCTCTCCTTTGAAATCCAGTCCAAAAAGTCAGCCCATTCTCACTCCAAGGCATATGTTAATGCTAAATACAATCATGCCCCAAAATATATCATGATGAAAAAAATTCCCATACCCTTCACATCAGTATTGATGATTAGTGTTTCTCAATGAAAGCCATGAGTTTACCTGTGTGTATAGCAGTAAAGATGCCTTTTGTGCAAAAGTCTTGGACATACGTAATTATTTAAGAAAAGGTTAAAAAGTGGATCCAGCTGAGCGAAGTACTGCGTCTCAGACATCCGGACATCACATACTTCTTTACTCATGTCCTCAATTGTAAGGCTGCAGTCCAAAACTGAATCTAATCACCATACAGGCAAAAGTTCACTTCAAGAATGAACAAAGTGGGATCAATAATTTTGAATTAAGGTATTTGACAAAACAGCAAAGACAGAAAAGGAAAAGGCAATCAATGTTATTATTTCTCTATATGAAGCATAGACTTTATTCAAGCCACAAAACTTTGTAAATGGCTGTTCAAAACCATGCAGACAGCAAATGAAGCCACCAGTGTTCATATGAATTTAGAGATGTACATATTTTTGTTTTGTTTGCAAATGTTGGAGGCTCATTTGTCGAGGCCTAATGGTTAGAGAGTTGGACTCGTACCGGCAGGGATTGTAGGGGGGGGGAGGGAATGTACAGCGCTCTCTTCCACCTTCAATACCACGACTGAGCAAGGCACCGAACCCCCAACTGCTCCCCGGGCGCCGCAGCATAAATGGCTGCCCACTGCTCCGGGTGTGTGTTCACGGTGTGTGTGTGCACTTTGGATGGGATAAATGCAGAGCACTAATTCCAAGTATGGGTCACCATACTTGGCCACATGTCACGTCACATGTCACGTCACTTAATAGCGAGGACATGCAAAGTGCTAGAACATCATTTATGAATCATAGCCTGCCAAATTGATTATTGTGTTGATATGCATTACCTGCCATGGTCGATTTTCACCCGCAGTTCAAACCCTCTATATAACAACTTAAAGGATGATTCACCTAAAACCAAAAATGTACAAAAACGTTAGGTGGGGCAGATTCTGGGCCGTAGCGCTAATATATGAAAAACATTTTGTAAGCTTTATATTCTAATCTCTGAACACATGGGGACAAAATTTTGGCAGAGATGTCCTGTGGGTGGCGCTAATGTTGATTGACAGGCTCGAAGTAATGTTACACGCATAAAATGCTGCATAATAATTGCCTTAATATAGCATTTATCACCTCCAAATGTTGATTTAGAATATTACAAGTTGTGGAGCAATTCGGGTGAGGAAAGAAGACCATATGTCTCTTCTCAGAATAAACAAAACAACCACAACAGAAACATAAAAAGGCTATTCATGTGAGCACATTTAAACTAAAGGATTTAATGTATAGCCTACTTTGTTAATTTGATCCACTACTCCACATTAAAAAAAAAACAGACATGCCAACTAGTTACTGACCTAATGCAGACACATAGCTGAAGTGGATTGATATCGTTGGTGGAGTGAGGTTCACGTAAGGTAACGTGAAAATAGGCCCAGATTGGCTAATTGGGAGCACCGGGAGGATTCCCGGTGGGCTGGTCTGTATTTTTGGCCGCGAGGGCCGGTGTTGTCATGCCACTGGGTTGAAATATGGATGCTGTCCCTAGACTGCCTGCACTCATAGCAGCCCCACTCTTTTTATTTATTATTTTCCTCGCAGCCCATATTATTATTTTCATAAGACCATATCAGTAACAAATTCTCAATTGATAATTAATCATTCTTTTTGTGCAAATCATTGTTTTATTTGCAGTGGCGGCTCATGGGTTTTAAAATAGAGGAGGCACACTAATTGTATTTGTCTGGGATCCCTGCCGGTAATTATTATTATTATTATTTGCTTAACCACTTTAAAATGGCTTTTTGGTTGTTTTTAGTCAGAAAACGTAAAGAAAACGACATACATACAGCAAGATAATATAATTTCGCTTACCTGGCCTATCGCTTGAAGCAAACATCCATCCCTTCTTAAAAGTCTGTGTTAAAAGAGAGCTGCCTGTTGCGCCATTTAATTAAGCCTACTGCTGTAGCCTATATCCAGTTTAGGCTGTTTTCCCTAAATTTGTATATATACTAGGGCCTTTCGCACGCTTTAGTTCCAGAACTAAATGTACAGTACTAAAGTACTGGGACGATTTTGCGCGAACTATTTCCCAGTACTATTTAAAGGGTTGCATTCGCACCGAGAGTGTGTACTAAGAAGTGACGTAAGCCGGTCGACAGCGACGTCATTTGTGCGTGGCGTTCAACAACAGAAACAAAGAAGAACAACATTAACAACAGGAGGATGGAGGACGCTGTGATCAGAGCTGTTTTTGTTGTGTCTCGCGGGTTTCACAATAAT